AAAATGGATTTTGTGTAAAACACATTGGCCAAAGACGAAATTTTCAGAAATCATAGACCTAAATATGCTGATGATGTTCCACTATAGGACAGGTCTTGGCAATCCCGTAGTTTTGCCTGACGGGGGTGCAAAATTAGGAAAAATTCGAAAGTAGGTCCCAAAGATGCATTTGCCATTCGGTCTAGGAACAATCTACAGAACTACGGGTTTCGGCGTTGGATAGAGGACAGTTTGACGATTTGAAACCACTAATAAAAGTTAAAAATCCGTTCGAGCTTCATAGAGATATTTGAGCCCAAAAAACGTCAAAAATTAGCATTTTCCATAGCTTTTTCCCTAAAAACAGAACACGGGGGAAAAAAAGGTCCGCTACAAAAATTGATCACCTCAACATGTTGTATATATGGTGAAATTTTCAGACTTCTATCATTTACAATAGAGGAACTAGATAAGGTCCCGTTTTGCTGGGAGACCTCAAATTGACTTCCCCTTTGGACCCCTTCGCAAGGTTTTTAAAATTTTTTGAACTTACGGCTATGCTTACAGGTACAAGTCCTACAAACTCTGAAAGTTTCATTGGATTCGCATGAAGTCGATGTAATTGTGGTACATTCTCGAAAGAATAACCCATCTGTCTCTTATTACAAGATTTGTCAACAATTCATATTATTGAACTTGTGGAGGTATCTATATCGGTTAAAATCTTTTAATCTTTTTGTGGCTATCGATCTAACCAAATAACATTTTCTTAGTCAGTTTTTCATGATAATTCGGAATATAATATTTATAGAAAGTTTAATTTTTTCTCAGACAAAAATTGATCGAATCAAAATAAAAATAAAAGCTATATATTTGTGGCCATCTTTTCACGCTCTGTCAAATCATATATAAATACTTTAGCTGTACCCACCTTCAATTTTCCACCCTGCTCGAATGATTCCTTCTGTTCACTCTTTTGTACTAGACAGACTATGTCATGTGGATATATTCATTTAAATCATATGATTATAACGGTGTGAACAAGTAAAACAATTGTATATAATTCTTTATGAACTCATTTAATGACTTTTCTTTATATTTAAAGTAAATTGAACTCACTCTCACACTCATGAACTAAATAGTGATACAATAAGCAAAAATGATTAAAGAATATATCACATATGTGTTAGTATTGAGACTAACAATTTTTCTTCATAATCTGTTGTACACTATTTGTACGACGATCGACGTAAACATGAACAGTTTTTGAGTTTGGAATTCGCGGTAGTGGTCGAGCTTGAACTAATCGATAAGTATCATATTTTATTGGTATATAACCTAAGCAAAAATTCAGAAATATACATCTGACTTAGTCCGTTCATTGATCATCTCGTGATTTACCTTGCTTTTTGAGTTCTTGACTAACATAGTCAGCATTTTGGCCGTTATAGTTATAAATATTTGTTTGGAAATCACAAGCATGTGACCCTTTATGTCCCTTCCGATTAACACCACATTTGACCAGATCAAAAGATAAAATATTAATGATTAAAATACCAAGAAATAGCATTATTTGGTTCATTTTGATAGACCACTTCTAAAAACAATATTTTTTTTTATAGTGATTCATTACAAAGCTCTGCATGGAATGGAATGCAACAGCAAAAATTCATCAGAGAGAACTGACAATAAAAATATGTCCATTTGGATGAGACAGCTATAAAAAACCTTTTGTCTCACCGTGACATGGGAGATGACGAAAAGTTTCGTGTTCCATCCCATGGACCAACTGAAGTGTCAAATACCTTTTAATGATTTAATTAAAATGAAATTTATAGTTGGTGCTGCTGTTTTTTTTGCTTATTTACAACAAACTACCTGAAATCCTGCATCGGAACTAATCAAACTTTTTACAGCAAAGTTCAGTTTTCGTATATGGAGGTTTCTGACATTCAGGATTCACTTTCATACTATGCCAGAAGCCATTGTATGATAAAATTAAATCTCACGCAAAAAATATTTAATTGGCTTCGATGACGACCCCTTCATAATTTTGATGTAAGACTTTACAGTAAACTTTCATGCTTGTTACTAAATGGGCATTTTAGTTTACAAAATTGAACAAAATAGTAAAATATGAGGAATGAAGATATGTAATTAAATATAAAAAACGATCCGAAACAAATAAACATTAATAAACCTATTAAAATGTTTCAACACTAAATGATCGAACAAATCTCTAGAGGAAAAAATAAATGCATCTAAAAAATAGAGTGCTTTATAGAGCTTTGATTTTTAAACTATTTTCATTCATACAATTGATTACGACATTCAAATATAAACCACCACACTTTATTCGACAGAAAAACAAAGTGAGAGAAAATAGAAAATATCATCGTCCGATTCTATGCGGAGCTCTGATATCACATCGTCTTTCGATGAAACAATGCAGTTTCATGATAATCGAGCACCATAAAGCGATAATCGGGTGATTATAGTTGTCCGTTTTTCTCTTTTACAACTTGTACTTTTGTTTATCTCTTCGTTGTTAGATCAAAAATGATTAATTTTGTAAATATACACAAAGATATGTTTTATATTTATATTTATACCTATACATTTATCAATCATTTTCTATCTTGTTTTATTCGTTTAAGCTTGTCTATTTAAAGCGAGTAGAATTAAAAGTGAAGATCTGAATAGAAATGATTAAACTGCTAATATATGCTATAGAGAAAATAAAATTGAAAAACTTTTGTTCCGATGTCAATAATCGTATTCAAGTTGGCTAGCAGGTGAAAATAGAAATACTTTTAAAGAGATGATTTACATGTATTTTGGATAGTCACATTCTTATTGAGGACATTCTCTCTAATACACTATGTTTAACAGAGATTTATCACTCTCACGGAAATAATTTTTTTTCTGTTTCAATTTGAAATCAAAAACTTAATTTATATCTGTCCACGATTTTGCTAAAGAGAGCATCTTTCAAAAGGAGAAGGTATGATTGTTGGTCGGATACTTATATTTATTAAATACATTGATTTTAGTACTAAACAGTATAAAACCTTAATAAAAACGAGGAAAAGAATATTGTTCAAGCTTACCTCTATGAATAGCGTTGCAACAATTTTGCTTTGAATATATATGTACGACGCGCAAATGATATTTATATAGGTCAAAGCTTTTCATAGGATGAGAATTTCCCATAGCATGGAAGAAAATAAAGCGTAAATATTTTGATGTTCGATACCATAGAATAATTTTTTCCCATTTCTGTTTCAGCCTATTTCATGAGACACTTATCAAAATATGTAAGTATTATTCCGTTCTTTCCGTCTTCTGAGATAAATAGTCGCGTATAGAAACATTTTGTTTTTGTTGCAGAGATTGTGTTCTTTTTCTATTGCAGTAGAGTGGGTGGAAATAATATTTTATCATGTTCTGTACATAGTATAGGTGTGAGAGTAGAGAATATCAGTATCCAAAAGGAGAATGTATATGTCACAGTTGAGATTGGAATGCGCGAAAAGAACAAAAAGAAAAACAACAAAAATCATACAAAACTGAAATATTTTCTCTTTAATAGTTATAAACAAATTGTGTTACACTGAAGGTTTCATGTATTAAGTAGCATATTTATAGTTTCAATATTTACATAATAATTGTAAAGCTACAATGGAAAATCATATACTCTGTTAGCTCGTCCCTCGAGCTTATGTTGTATTTATTTCTTCTTCCAAAAAGTATATATTCTTCTTAACAACACGTACATATATATATAAACCAACAGAGAGAAACAACAAAGGGAAGAGAAAAAAAAAGATACTAAAAGATATCGAGAGGTGGAGCTAGGTGAATCACCGTTAACAGTTTTCCCCCTCCACCATTAGATGTGTGTCCGCACACATAGGCCTTATGTTCCTGATGTTGAAGTTTAATTTCGATGTAATGTTTCAATTGTTAATTTTTTATATCAATTGAACTGTTCATTAATAATTATTCAAGTCTGAGGAATGGTGGTTCAACTAATTGTATATATGAATCTGTTTCATCTAATGGTGTATAATTAAAATAAAGCTAAGCCAGTAACAAGAATGCATAATTTTGATTGTTCATATTGTTCTGAAAAAAAATTGAATTTTCTTCAAGATGTTCTAACATATATTGAATAAGACGAAATTTCGTAAATAATATTGTAAAAAAAATATCGATTTTGTATATATATAGTTGATGATCTTTTCGATAATCTTCAATTAATTCAGTACATGAATGCAACCTGATATTTTTAATTTTTAATTGTATCAATAATTTATAAAAATTTCCATTAACCGATATTTTCTTCTCTTCATAACCAGTTTAAATGTTCTTCCACATTCATGTTCTACATCACATTGTTTTTCATAAATAATCATATTAACAGCTAATGAACTACGTGGTGAATATCCTTCAATTGATATATTTAATGTATTATCATATTGAAATCTTTATGATACATTTTGTTGAATTGTGCTAATGCATGAACACATAATGTTATCTCTATATATATAGGATTTAAGCGTTCTTGTAGCATAATCTTGATGAGTTTTGTTTTTTTAAACCGCACGATCATTTAATTCATATAATATATAACGATAATTTTCAATTGTTTGATCAATTGTTTATTGTTGACATATAAATGTTTGTGTTGTTAATTTATCTTTATCACGTTCTTCATTCATCATATATAATTCTTATTCACCTCCGTATCATTTAAATCATATTAACATTGATAAAGATTTTCCACTGATTCAATCTGTTGTCGTCGTTCTTCTATTGTTTGTTTTAAATCACTATAATTAAATAAAGTATACATTCATTATTTAAATGTTCCGCTAAACGTTGTTCATGATTTTCAGTGTCTTTTAGTAATGTTTCATTTTTATGTTTTAATAATTTAATATTCATTGATGTTTGTTGTTTATTATTAAATATTAAATTTGAATATGTTTTCAATCGATGACGTTTTCCACTTAAACATGTTTGTTCATCTGCAGTATCACGTATATATTGATGTAAATATTTTTGTTGTTCTAAACGTGATTTTACTAATGGTAATAAAAGTTTCGAAAGTTCTTCTTCAATTTATAAACATTTCATATCAATTTCTTCAGATTTTGCTAGTTCTAATCGTTTTTAATTTTAATTTTAATTTTTTTTGACTTGCATACGTAATGCATCAACTTGTTGTTGAAGTTTTATAGTAATTCTTCTTTAAGGTTGTTTGTTTAAGTAATAAAAGACTCATTTCTGTTAAATTATTTCCTAACAGTAACAGTTCAGGTATCGGTATTCTTGTTGAAATCTGTTCATCATTTAAATCTGTTGGCGTTGATTCACCAGCATATGAATATTTCTGATATTAGACATAAATTCATCGGAGCTTGTTATATGTTGTTGAAATGATCTTAATTCATAAATCATATAGTTCATTAATACGTTGATCAATTAAATTTGTATTGGTTCGTTGACGTGAAATAATGAGGCATAACTAATGATTGATGCTGTATTGGATGATGATGGTAATGTTGTGATGATCGATGGTAATGGTTTTCATTTTTGTTGTTGCGATTGGTTGTTGTTGTTTGTTGATTTATATGTTTATTTATTTATTTTTATTTTTGTTTTTATTTTCTTATTTATTTATTTATCTTTTTACTTTTTATTTTGTTTTATATATATTTTTTTTTATACTTTTATTTATTTATTATTTTGTATATATATATTTTTTTTTAATATTTATATAAAATTTTAGTTCTTTTATTTATATTTACCCCATCTTTTGTAATTCTGTTCTCTTGAAAAATAATTTACTTTCATTTTTGTTGTTGCTTGTTGAAGTTCTGCTTGAGATTTAAAACCTATTTTAACTTCACCACGATGTTTGTTTATTATCAATTGATGGCTTGTATAAATTTCATCGTCCATCAGTTGGGCTCGAATTTTTCGATAATCATATCGGTAATATACTGGACGTCTTAAACGGTGTTGAAAATCCGAGTGATGCTTCTGTTTCCATTTTAATTTCATATTCTTGCGGCGTTGTCGTTCTGATTTTGATAATGTGGGTTGTTGTGATTATAAGTGCTGGTGGTTCATCATTTTCCATTATTGATGTTGTTTCTGTTTTGTTAAAGTGAGGTTTTAATTTTTCAATTAATTCATCTTCACTGATGTCAGATAATTCATACTCCCGCTTGTTTATAATATTTGTTGATGTTACTGTTGGTGTTGACATTGTAGTTGTTTGTGTTGTTATTGGTAGTACTTGAGTTATTGGTTGATCATCAGGTTCTTGTGGATAATGGTTGAAATATAATTCGGTCACTGCAGTACAGTCGTTTACTGCATATTGTTTCATTTTTAATCTTTGTTGTTGTTCGATCTTTGTTTATCATATCATTTTCGGCTAAATAATTTAGTTTTCCATGTGTTTAGTTGAAGATCTAAACCACATTGCCATAAATTAACTGTCATAGATTTGTCAAGAAATTTATTTAACGTTGTTGCAGCTGCTTCTTGTAGTGACCATGTAAGATCTGAATCTTCTTGTTCTTGTTCTTGATTAGGATCATATTGAATATCATTAATGTCTTCAGAATCATCGTCGTTGTCGGGCTCCTCATACATAAGTAATAATTGAAGCCTATTTTCATCATTACGCCTTTCCGTTTCCGGATCCGTATTTGATCCATCATGCCATCCTCTTAATAGAAATTGAAGGTTTTTTTATTTAATTGTTTACCTAAATGGATCAGGTCCAGATGATGAAAATTTTCGACTTCTTTCGACAATGGCCCCCATGAGATGATTTCATTTCCTCTGCTGAAGATAATGGAGTAGAGTTCTTTAATTTTATAAAACAACATTGATTGTGGATCTGGTAGGAATGCTGTTTCAATTAGTATGATTGTTGAGTTGCTAATTGACTGTACGAATTGGATTTGGATGAGAGCACCAATGTTTCGTTTTCCACATTTTTCCGATTCTGTATCAATTGTATATCTTTGAGTGTGCTTTGCTTTTATAATTAATTCGTCGATAACATCCATTGTTGATTTGTAATGAATGTGATAAATGGGAATATTTGTTGTTGATGTAAATGGTGGATATTGTTTCCGTAATTCTTCATTTCTTAAAATTTTCCTGGTGTTTTGTCGCCAAGTTCGTTGTTGTTTTGTGGTGAGTGTGTAATAATAAGCTGGTGGGTTTGATAAGGATCGAGTTGTCGACATAATGATGTATAGCTAAAATGAAAAATGCGTAATTTATATTTTAGTGTCGTAATAAAATTATTTCTTCGCTAAGGTTATTGTCTTTGAGGTCAATTTTTTCTTTCCTTTGTATATAAGAATGCTCGATTATTATTTAAATATAAAATTTTCTTGTTCTTGTTCTTATATATGACAGATGGTTCTATTGTCGTCCATATATAAAAGTTTCCTTTCCTTTGATGTGGTCAATGTGTATATTTCATGTTGGTGCTCTGATTATAGTAAAGTTATCGATGTGTAACACTTGCGTTCTTCGTTGCACCGTACAATGCGGCCGCTATTGTACAAGTGCCTCGATTATAGTGCACTGTGATTGGATGATGAGTCATCGCGTATAATGTATTTATTCAATGAATAAAATATGTAAGATAAAATCAATTAAAGTTAATGTTTGAGTTAGACAACCCCTCCTTGTCAGTGAGAAGGTAAAATTCTGTCTCACCGGCATGGACTGCTGAATCAAACTCAATCATTTTTTAATTAATTTGAATAATAATTTTTAATATATGCGTATACATAGATATATATTTTTCTTTTTTTTTGAATACTTTACTAGTCATACGATCATGTCCCGCATCTTCCCCTTTTGGGATGTGTGTTATTGAATTAAATTCCATCGTTCCATCAAGGGAACGATAACATCCATTGTTACTTGTCTTGTTACTGTTAATTTTTTTACATGTTGAACAATGAATGTTTTATGTCCTAATTGTTTAATAATTTTAAATGGACCTTCATATCGTATATCAAATTTATTTCTAACATTTCTTGTTTTTACTAAAACTAAATTATTAATTTTTCAAAACAAATCTTGTCTATGTAAATCATATCGGGCCTTATATTGTTGTTGATTTTGTATAATATTATTTCGAGCTTCATTTACTAATTTTTTCACTATGCTCTGGATCTTGTGTGAGCGAAGTAATTTCTTTTTGTTGATCAAATGGAAGTGTAGCTCGTCTTCCATGCATCATTTCGAATGGTGTTTGTTTTGTTGTTGCATGTATTGATGTATTATAATTAAATGTAACAAATTGTAATACTTCATCCCAGTCTGTACATCGTTCATTACATAAAGCGGCAATTTTTCCATCCATAGTTGCATTGAATCGTTCAATTTGTCCATTTGTCTGTGGATGATATACGGTCGAATAAAGATGAGTAACTCCAAGATTGTCAAATAATTTGTTCATAATTTGAGAAGTAAAATGAGTACTATTATCAGTTAAAATACATGTTGGAGCACCATATTTTAATATAACCTCACTAATAAGGAATTTTACTGCTGTTGCTGCTGAACAATCTCGAACCGCCTTTGTAATAACAAATTTTGATCAAACATCTGTAAGGGTGTGGGTGGGTGTGGGCGTGGATGTGGGTGTGGGTGTGGGTGTGGGTGTGGGTGTGGGTGTGGGTGTG